TTTTTTGGTTTTGGCTTCATGGGTCCTGCAGACCTTGCACCAGTGTGCACGGCCCTCATATGACACATTCGCACACCTCTTCTGTTTTGACAGCTTCGCAGCAACTTACAGGCATCCACACATGTCGTCATCGGGAACCGCGATGCTTTCCATAATCACCTTATGCCGACGATGAGTCCTTGAGATTCTTACACCCAGACAACCAAGAAAACATGCACTTCTCAACCTGTAGCTTTCAAGGCTCTAAGCTGATTTCTGGGTGGAGAAGTTTTTGTGGGTACTGTTTTTTGGCCCTTTTTTTTGTGGTGCTGGGTGGGGGGGCGGATCTGCGCATTTCCATTGAGTGTCCTTTAGACCAGCAGCAACGTAATAAGTATACAGGCAGTACGTTTGGGTGACCAATCACACCGTGAGCTCACACGTGAAAGAGGCGTAGTTTACGAGTGTCAACCTTTTAAAGTTCTTTCAAAGCTTTAAAGCAAAGAGACCATTGGGCATGTGTCGACTCCTGCAGCTTGATCGTGCCTATGTTTCAATCTGTACATACGCAACCTTTCGGAATCGTAGGCTCATAGCGATGTACCGTATCGTAGGTACACCGGATTGATGCGATCAGAACAGCAGCTCGGCGGCATCGAGCGTCGGTGAACAGAAACAAACACAAGAGGAAGACTCCATGGCTAGCCATTGCACCCCTGTTCGTTTTCTCAGCTTCGGCAAGGACAAAGCCGTGTTGAAGAAATCGATGGAGATGCTATCAGATGCACCATTAGCAACAGGATTGCACACACCCACACACACACACACACACCAAAAAAAACAGCCGCAAGGGCTTGTGCGCAACAGAACTGACTGAGATTCTTTTCGCAGAAAAAGGCAAACTGCTTCAATCTCTTGAATCCGGTGCAACTCGTACGAAGAAAACTGGCTCCAATGTCCTAAAGACCGTAATGGGCGCTGTGAAAGGTATATGGTGACCAGCTTGATGTAATTGAAAAGATGGTAGTTGTGGTTGTCGTCCTGCGGCAGCTTTGACTTTGTATTGAATAACCAGCTTGACCTTGTCAATGGTGTCCGCGGTGACACAGTCGAGATGAAACACCATAGCTTGGCCCGCTTGCGGCCCTTTGCGTCAGCAGAGACCTCTGAGCTCCCACCAGAGTGTACCTGTAAAGGTGCTTCGAACTTCCAGAGCAGTACAAATGATTTCCGTAGGCGCGGATGGCAGCTAAGACCGGACAGGCGACGAAGACCCTCGGAGAGAAAGCAGGAGACCCAACGGAGAAAGCCGAGCCAAGCGGAAGACCCCAGGAAGAGCGAGGTGTCCGACTGGAGCGGACGAGACTCAAGGTCGCCAGCACGCCTGGCATGAGGCCTTCTCGGCCCAGGATTCTTGGCCTCACCGACCCGACAAGAGCAGCCAAGCTTGGCACAGGCGGAGGGGTCGAGAGGGCGAGCAGAAGTCCACTGAGCGCCGGCGCAACAAGCAGTTGCGATGACATTCGCGAAGCCGCCGGGCATGGTGTTAGCGACTGCAGTCTAAGGAAGGCGTTGAGCAGCTGAGTGCCCAACCAGGCGCAAGTCAGAATAACGACCTTTGCAAAGGAGGCGAGCGTAGGCCAAAGCACAGTTGGTGGCGACACGAGTGCGCTTCCTCCACACCCGAACTCAGCCAGGTTGGTGCCAGAAGTAAGAGGTGTCAGGCTGCACGAACCAATACACGAGTTGCTGCTCGATACACACATCACGAAGACACGAAATCCATCGAGCAATCGCATTATCTGCAAGGACCTTAGCACGCAGGGCCGGAGAAGTATTCGAAAGACCGCCAGGTTGAGCCCTGGAACGCAGAGGGGGCCGGACCGCTCTGGAGAAGGAGCGGGCAGGGGGAGCGCCCGCAACAACACGGCACGCACGCAGCTCGAGAAGAAGCTGCACTTGCTCCCGTGCCGCCGAGTCATAGAGATCTTCGGCAGCACTGCGCGAAGCGTCGAAGGACAGTACCCAAGGAGCCCCGTGGCGAAGAAGGGTTGCTTCCCATTCCCCGGCTGCGGCACGTGTCTAGGCCCGTCTAGGCATCTCACCATGCCATAGCCTGAGCGAATGTGTTGGTGAGGCTTGCTTTGGTCGAAGCTCGGAGCTCTGAGCCTGTCGACCTCCGATATCTCCGGTTCCTCCTCTGACTCGTCCAGGGCGGTCCGGGCCGGTTGTAGCCGCCGGCTCGCCCTTCAAACCGCAGGATATTTTGCTCATCTCGGTGAGGGCTTGAGGCAGCCCCCTGAGAGCCGCAGCCACCACGGATTGATCGAGTCAGGGGCAGCTGCCCTCTGCTCCAGTCATAAATCCGGTGGCCTGCGCACGATGCGCAGGTGCGGCGGCAGGAGTGGATTGCACTCTTGGCTTCGGAGCCGGAGGGCGCTGAGTAGCCACGTGCCCTCCCAAATTGGCGCCTTCTCGTCTGGCGCAATATCTGGACCTTCGGTGGCCGAGCCGGCCAATTGCCGTTCCCAGCTCGGCTAGGGCATCGACCGAAGGAAGCAGCAGCTTGCCTGAAGGGAGCACACCGAAACAGACGGAAGGCTCGACATCTGAGACCTGAATTGCAGCCTCCGCGTGACCCTCGCACAAGCCGAGCCAAACACATGCCGTTTGCCCGGCCGCTCCAACTGCTCTGTCGGACTCCAAACACTTTGCTGAGGAAACCTCGGGGGATAGTTCGCTTGGCCACTTTGCGGCGCCAGCTGGCTGCCGGCAAACACAACAACAGCTTTCCTTGCAACTCGCCCACAACCAAGCAGTGCACAGTCACCTCCTGCCCCTCGGCATCGAAACCGCATGGCAAGATACACAGCGGACACAGGGGATCGACAAAGTTTTCTCCGACAGCTGCACAATCTCTCGCCACACCTCCCCGTCCAAGTCGCGAGAGCAGTCGGCTTCACCAACGGCTTCGTCAGCCATCTCACAAGTACTCGGCAACGCAAGCCTGCCGCCGAGCACACAGAAATCACGTCTTGCCTGCAGGCAGTCCAACGAAAACGCTCTCCACAATCGGACCCGCGCTTTCAAGCTGGGCGCACTCGGCAAAGGACTTGCACCCTATGCTGGCCGTCCAAGGACCGCGCAAAAACAAGCCGATCTCCCGACGCGGCCGCCCGTTCGTTGCAGAGATGGCCGCGGTCCCTCGCACAGGCAAAGAGGGGGGGTTGGGTCAGGCAGTAAGCGGCTGAGCACGGGTCTCGGGACAATAAGGGCTCAAGGTACCCGTAAGGGGTCATATTGCACGCGATGCGGAGTTTGTGGCAGCCGGCTCGCTACCAAATCGAAGGATGATCCTGGGCTGCGGTCCGGAAAGTTGCAATGCACGGACCTGCTACCCAAAGAAACCCTCTTAGGCACAGTAGGAGCTCGAGGTTCTCGAGATCATGCCTCTCTGTTTAGAGATGTTGCTCGGATGGTCTCATCCTGTTACCAGTGCACCTGCGAAGCAAAAACTGTTCCTTTTCGGTCCATTTGCTCTTTGATGTGCTGAGACAACTCCGGCCCAAGATTCTCCGCTCTAACTCAACTGGGTCGGGGTTGCAGCGGGGTACGGTACGCTTGGCCCACGTTAGGTTGGGTTAGGTTAGGTTGGGATGGATTGGGTCACGTTGGGTCCAGCTTGGTGGGTCAGATTTGTCGGAGGTTTAGGTTAGGGGGTGGGTTCGGTACGCTTGGGGGGCGGTTAGGTTGGGATGGGTTGGGTTGGGATGGGTTGGGATGGGTTGGGTCAGGCAGGGTCAAGCTTGGTGGGTCGGGTTTCGGTTAGGTCATTCAGGTTAGGTTTGATTCTTGTTGGCTCGTCCGTCCGTTTGCTTGAAGCAAGTGCATCTTGGTTGAGCAAGCCGGCTGTTGTGGTTGAACAATCTGCCGCCACATGGGATCCTATCAACACAAGAGCAGTAGTGTAGGGTTCGGATTGTGAGTGTCTTAATTTTAGGCTAGGTTGGACAAATGAGTTTGGGTGGCCTCAGACTGGGTTGGCTGGCACAACTGCCGCATACCCGACCTAACCGTAGTAAAGGAAGCAAAGGCAGCAGATGCGAGAAGTTTGGTTGTGATTTTGGTTGCTTGGTTGTGCAATCGGTGCGTTTTGGTTGTGTCATTTTCTTTCTTGGTTGTCAAAAAACCCGTTTTGGTTGTGCAAGCTTGGTTGGTTGAGGAATCGGTTCTGATCCCGACACACAGACCCGGCGGAGGTTGGGTAGCTCAGTGAGGCGTGCCTCCTCCAGCGTGGCCGCACCCTGCTCGTCACACCACTCGTTCACCAATCCCAACTGCTCCTAACAAAACGCACTCTCAAAAGCTACGCCAGAACTTCAGAATTCCTGCCTCGAGACAAAGGAGCAACAGCCATGTGCGCAATCCTGGCACATGCTTAGGCGCGACAGTAAGGGCCTAAGCTGGCCTAAGGCACCGCTGCCCCCACTGCCATGTCCTGGAACAGCTTCCTTGGACCGGGACGAGAGGAAACTCTGCGCATCACCAAGACTTCCGAGTCGACTTCGTTCGAAGAATTTCTACTAACCTGAGCCGAGCACCGGGATGGCCTCAAAGATCCTCGGCTGGAGACGCAAAAGAAAGACCTCCTTCAAAACATCCTGCGCTAGGACATAGTGTGCAAGAACCCACAAAAACTCTCGAACTCATAGTGTCATAATTCAACGAAGCAGCTTTGCTTTGGTGAAATCCGGATTGCTCAGGGCGTCTTGGTCACTGGTATCCTCTGCGAAGTGTTTCTCGCCAGGCACCTCCGGAAATGTCAATACACCCTGCTTCTGCATGCATGTTCTCCTGGCCCCGCACCAGCTTGAAGCCCAAGGCTTGGCAGGGAACCAGTAGCTTGCCTTTCTCCTGCAGCGCCAAAACTGCTGTTTTCCTTGTGGCATCTCAGTTGCAGCGCTTGACGAGCTGTCTTGAGCCCTGGTGTCCGTAAAGCGGCCGCGGCAGCGGAGCGGCAGCGAGCAAGCACGTGCTCGGCCAGCCAGCAGCCGCAGGAGCCGCCTCTCTGTTCGCGCAGACCTGATGTGGCCTGGTTGCCTGACAAAATCCCTTGTTTTATTTCCTGGTGCCATAGAACTGAGCCATGATGCGCCATATGCAGTCAGCATACTTGTGCTGGCATGCAAGGACATCGAGAACGCATCCTGTCATGCTCCCTCAGGTCCGCTACGTCCTTTTAACGCCTCACGAGCAGGCATGAAGCCCACTTAACGATGCATGTGGATCCTGACGTGATCTGAGACGGAACCGAACCGCGAACCTTTGGCTCTGAGTGCCGGGCTCCTCCGCCAGAGGGCCCTGACCGGCGCGCGCGGGGGTCCCAGTGACCCCATGTGGTGCCCCCTTTTTGTCCCCATGTCGTCCCCCCGGCCTGGTCGAGGCAGTCGTGGCCTGCACGGAGACGGAAGGAGACGGAGTTACACAGCCGCGCTCTGCGCTCTGCGATGCTCTGCGACGCTCTGCGCTCTGCGGCCTAGACAGATCTGGATGTCGAGGCTGCTCTCTTTCGTCCAGATGGCCAGTGCAGAGCCGGTGGTCCCAACCAAGCCGGTTACGAGAGCCTGGAGCACGCTGGTAGAGTGGTACACAGATTACACAGTGTGTACGTAGGAGGCTTTTGAAACGGGGCCTCGCGGCCCACGGGTGCGACGGCACGGAACTCCTTCTGCGTGAAGTCCGAGGCACCGACCTCTGCCAGGAACTCCAGGAGGCCCTCTTCCGACAAAGGAAGCGCGGAACCTCCGCCGTGCTTTTCCCTCCAGCTCAAGAGGACGTTCAGGCCCTGCAGCTGGCGCAGGAGGATGGGGTTGGTGTACTTGAAGCCGCTCAAGACGCCGGCGCCCAGTCCTTGCACACCAAGCAGCTCCCTGTCACTGGCAGTAAACGAAATGTCCAAGTCTACTCAGTTCTGCCAAGGTGCGGTCAAAGCCGGCTGAGCGTCCCAAATTCTGCTTCTGCCAGCGGCTGGCCAAGGCGAAAGCCCGCGTCAGGCCGCTCGAGGACACGAAGTCCACGACCTATAGGCAGCAACATGCAACCAGCACGGTAAGCCTACGGCAAGCCTCGTGCTTGACATGAAACTCGAGAACTCTGCTGAACTGTGGCCTTGTAAACCTCGAGCTCTTTGTCTTTCTCAGAAAGCGGCTGCAGCTCCGCGGGGAACTCCGCGTAATCAGCTTCGTAGAAGGGCCAAGCCCCGAAAGCCGGCGCGGAGCCCGTGAAGCGCCCCACCGTCGTCTCCTGTTGTACCGGACTCAGCTCCGTGGGGTCTGCCTGCTGACGCTTTGGTGGCCAGAGCGTGCTGGTGACGTTCATGGCTCCCACCTGATTCGCAGCCTCCACCCGCAACTCCGGATCCTCCGCATCGAACTCGGAGGACAGCTCCAGCTTGGACTCCATTCCGCCGCCACCTCCGCTTGCGCCCCGGGGAATCTTCAGGTGGCACGGGCGTCTTCTTTTCGCCAGTCCCTTCAGTGGCACCGCAAGGACCCCCACGGCCAGAGAAATCGGCTGTCTCACAGAACGAACCTGTGCAGCAAGAGCGAACCCTCCGCGAGGCTTCCTTCCTGCTTGAAGCGCTAGTTAGTGCCCACTTTTACCCACATCGAACCTCGACGCGGCACCGGCGAGAAGGTGCTGAGGGCGTTGCAGGCGTCGCAAATCGCTGTCCAATTGCATCCACGGGCACCTTCGCCATCGCCGTCGCCATCGCCGTCGCCATCGCGTGCAGCGGGGGAAAGGGGGGGGGCCGCCTGTTGAACCACGCGGCTCGTCAGACAGCCTGTTGCCTTGAGCCTTCGGATTGGGTACTGCAAAAGACTACCCATCTCTGAAGCCCTTGCAGCTGTCCAGAAATTTCTGCTCCCGAAGGTCGCACAAAGGGCCGGGCCGCATGTGGTTCCCAGCAACATTAAGAAGCAGAGTGCGTCGAATGCATCGCATCAAAGGCTTAGACCCGACCCGCACCCGCATGGCGAATGGCTGTGTCACAAATCTTGCGGTACCATTGCACGGGGCAAGCCAAACGTCGGATCGGCACTAACCTCTCCCAGTCCTCGACAGCGAACCGAGATGGAAGAGGTCAAGGACAAGCTCTGGGAAATGTGACTCTGAGAAGGCCTTAAAGTTCGTGCGTTTGCAGAGATGCACCCGACCTTTGCACAAACTGCACACACTGGTAGGTGTGCTGTTGGGCAGTGTGAGATCCCACGAGGAAGATGCTCTGGTGTGCCCACACCACGGGGTGAGATTCTCTGCTCGTGTCCTTGATTCTACATCCGTCCGCCTGTCCTCATTAAACTTGGGAAAGATGCAGCGCTCAGGATCCAAAACTGAAGCCGCCTGGGTCAGCAGATCACAGAAGATCCAAGCCAGCCTGGCAGCGTTTGCGCACCTGTGGGCACCTGTGCACCAAACTGGAACTGTTGAGGATTCGAAACCTCAGCCGATCACAACACAGCTTCCGAAGACTCAGTGATGGCGGCAAAGCGCTATGGACTAAACCCAGGAAGGTGTCTGCCGCACTTAGGTCATGTCGGAGCTCACAACAGTATCTATCCAAGCAACTCCTAGACGTGACACGGCTTTACCTGCGGGCGTGCTATGCGAGGCGGCACCACGGGACCTGAGGTCACAACATCTTCACCGATTTCTGCATCTTCATCCTTCCGGAAAAGGGAATGTCTGTCTGCGCAGGCCGGTACCAGCTTTTGATGCTCCCGTGCCTCCAGCGGGAAATACTTTTCTAGAATCTTCATAGCCTTCTGGTACCTGGAAGTTAGAGAAAAACTCTACTGCTAGAGCGGCAATCCCGCAAAGCCTTGCATCACCGAAGAGGTACACTTCCTCATTGGGATCCTCCTGAAGATTCTCGATCTTCGGCAAGCCGTCGGCCTGCGAACATGAAGCAAGTGCGCCGACCAAGTGCATCTTTTGTATTGCGAGGGTGACAACACTACAGTAGCCTGCTCGATCTTGGCAGCAAAAGGATTCTCCGCCATGCCCAGTTTCTGCTGTTTGTCCTTGCCCACCTGCAGAGCCAAACGAAGTGGCGAAGGTGGACCAGCCCGGCCACCGGGATGCCACTGGCCTTCAAAATGTTTTCCAGAGCTTCCAACGCCACGCCTGGGCGTCACAAACTCAGGCTCGAAGAAAACCAAAACTTGCAAGCATTGCAGCCCTCAGGCCCCAACCGATGATTTTGGCATCTGAAACGACCAGCAAATCGACCTCAGTCACTCCATATCCCTATATAGGCGTGCATTTCTTTTTCGGCGCGCTGTTTCGAATCATCCACGCTCACTACTACTACGGCTACTACCAAGACTACTAACTCCTATACTACTGCACTGCTGCTGCCGCTGCTGCTGTTTCTGCTCCTGCTTGTGCCGCTCCCGCTCCCGCTCCGACCCGTACCACTACCCCTACCCTGCTACTCCGTACATGAATCTATGTCATGCAAGCCTCCATTCATCGATTCGTGGCGTCCAAACTGTTTTCCGCAGAGTTGGCCCCGCCATCCGCCGGTTGAGATGACGACTCAACTTGATCCTCGCCCGAGCGATTGCCATCATGCGCAGCCGCGAGGAACAACAGATCGAATGCTCCAACGAGATGGCCTTGCGAGCCTTCTGCGCCTGATGGTTCTTTTGGCAAATGCGGCGCAATGCATGATCAGTCGGGGCATGGGAGTGCAGCACCCCTCGTGACCAACTCCGGGATCAGATCAAGAGGGTGATAGCGAGCTGCAGTGATGAAGGACTCAAGCTGTGTAGAACTCTGAGACAACAACGTTGAGGTAGCAACATCCACCCCCGTAATCAGAGCTTCGCAGCTTCTTTTGCCCCTGCACATTGAAGTTCTCCATTGGCTGTCCGGCCGGTACATCTGTTCAAGATGCCTGGGAACACGCATCCAGGTACATCGGCATCCAACCAAAGGTCTCAAGAGTTCCCTTCGACAGCGCGGCGGGAGGGCGGGGAGCTTCGAATCTTGAGCTGCCGTGGCACATACGGAGCTCAGCTCTATCTGTCAGAGCTTCGCAGCTTCTTTTGCCCCTGCACATTGAAGTTCTCGTACATCTATTCAAGATGCCTGGGAATACACATCCTGGTACATCGGCATCCAACCAAAGGTCTCAAGAGTTCCCGCTTTTCCCACACGTAAGTAGCCAATGCTTGGCCGCTAGCCGGCAGAGAACAGTCCATACCAAGAGGCTGCAGGAATGCCAAGCCGTCTCCACTCAACTGCCTGAGCCAGTGTAGGGGTGAAGCCATGAGCCAGGCGGAGCACGTCCTCACGCGTGGCTAAGGACAACGAGGGGAGGAAGGTGCAGGCCATTACCTCTTGTACGTAAATCTCCATCACACGATGAGAGGCCCATCTGCCTCTCCGTCTCACCAACTCGCTGTTCTCCGTGACGGTCGCCCCGCCTGGCCTAAAAGAGCCGAGGTCGAGGGGCCGGTGATGTTGGCGCGCTGCGCTGATCCCGATCCTTTCCAAGACGAGGTCGAAGCGCCTGCGGAGCGTCTGGGTGCTCCTGGGCCAGAGCCAACCAACCCCAAACCAGACAAGTCGTGAGCATGCTCAGCAAGATCACGGCAGGCATGGCAACATAGTGCGTCGTTCGGTTACGGCTTCCGTTTC